CTGGTCCACAGAGTGAGTTCCAGAACAACCAGAGCTATATAGAACCTTGTCTCAAAAAAAAAAAAAAAAAAAAAAATCAAAACAAAAGCCAGGAAAACAATCTGAACAAACAAGGCATGACTTACCTATGTATTTGTTCAGATTGGGAAGAGGGAGAAGTCCAGCCCACGCGAGCTGCTCTCCAGTGTTGCCAGGGTCTGGGTGTCTTTCTCTACTTTTAGAAAGACTCCCCCCAACCCCCCATCCCTCACTGCCACTAAAGCACAAGGAGGTGTTGGGGGGAGGGAGACGGAGGGGAGGGGTGGAAGCAGAGAGAAGAGCGGTGGTGGGTGGGGAGCACAGCTGAAGAGGACCAGTTAGAACAGGGTGTGAAAGTGCTGGGTGAAGCCCATTGCTTTGTATGCTAACTTAAAAATGTGGTTTTAGAAAGCTATGCCTCTTTAGCTGTAGCACATTTTAACCGTTTCTCCAGGGGCTTCCTGATCTAGCTTTCAATCATGCCCTCTTGGAGGGTGCTGCTGGCCTCTGCTTTGCTGCTGTTGTTCATTTGGGCTTAAAAAAAAAAGTATTTTCAGCAGCATTTCTTGTCAAACCCTGCTTTAGGCTTCTTTAAGGCTAAGAGAACTGACCGAGTCTTACGGTTTTGGGAAGATGCTGCTGGTTTGAATTTCCATGAATTTTGATGTTAAGGTTTTTTGAAAACTCTAGAATGATAATTAAAAAAAAATTATAATGTTGAGGATTCTTTTCTGTGGGCAGCCTCATCTTAATTTTTAACATTTTAAAGAAAAATAAAAGCCACCCCCAGCCCAAGCCAAAGGGCTAAGTGTGTACGTACCATAGTGTGTCCATTGTCTGTCATCTACTTGAAAGAGTTATGTAAGGCCAACTACCAGAGTTCAGAACGCTCATATCTGGGTAGCTTGGAACTGACTTGGGGAGTTAGAAGTTGATCAAGAATCAAGAAAAGTGTTGGAGTCAGGAGCTTGCCATCAAAAGCCATGCAGTCCAGTTAGGTGGACATGAAGTCACCGCAGCTGATGAGGACAGCCAGAAGCAGAAGCATTGAGGAGAAGAACCTTCTAGAAAGGAGAGGAAGTCAGCTTCAGAAAGCTGAATCAGCTGCAGATCCAGGCACTGCTTACACAGAAAAGCCAAGATGAATGCCGTGTGTATCAGCTCTGATGTCCATCGGTCAGTGTTTGTCTAGACACGTACATATTTGTGTGTACACACATAACACACATACATGCATGCACACGATTGACAGGATTCTTTTGACAGTACTCTTTTCTCGTTAATTAAGTAGTATGGTTAAGTGAACAGTGACCAGCTTTTACTTCAGTACTTGCTGTAATACCTATTGGGTATCTTGTGTGACTGGCTGACAGCTGCTGCCTTGTTTACTTACCCTGGATCCTGCATTTGAGCATCTAGGGTGAGTTCTTGAATAAGCCTGTTTTTCATTTGTGTTCTCGTGGCACCTCATGTGTAGAGTGGTACAGGTAGCCGTTGTAAAAAGACCTTGTGTTATTGTTCAGTGAAGACAGAAGGTTTGGACAGTGGTCTTGTTTATACGGACAACATACATCATTGTCTTGGGATTTGTGTGGTAAATAGTTCTTCTCACACTTGTAGCTTTATCCTCACACACAAGGCCCTGCCATCTTAGGTCACTTTATGTTGAGTTTTTTCCTTATCTGAAGTGTCATTACATCGTGATGAATCAGAGCCCTGTGCCTTATTTTCCAGTGTCATTTTGAAAGTGAAAACACCAACCAAACAACAGCCCTATTAAAATGTAACTTGTACACCATGGGTAGAGAACAGACATTTCCCAACTGAAGTTCAGGAAGTTTTGAAGTGCATGTTCATCCTTGGTCAGCTCCAGAGAGTGAGTCAGCAGCTCTGTCAGCACACCCTTGCTTTGAGTGGGGCGGTGGCGCATTTCTGAGAATACAGAACTAGTCCAGTGTAGTGAGTCTAGGTTTGGTTTTAATAAGTCAGCAGTTTCAGATGTGGGTGCCTGCAGTGCTGTCCTTTGCTTTTAGGTTTGAGAAGTGTTAGAAGGTAAATGAGAGCACTGTCTTTCAGTACGTACTTAAACTCTGCTTCAGGTTAAGGATCTGCATAAGGTTAAGGTGGGCGTTGAACCGTGCATGGTCATTAGGTAGCTAAGGTGTTAGGTGAAGATGGTTACTGACACTTAGTTTGTAACACTCCTGGGTACTACCCCTCAGTAATGAGGACAGATGTTGAAGTGTCTTTGTCGTTGCAAGTCACTGTAGTGGTAGTGTTTGCAGTTGGTGGTCCTTACTCCTAAGCTACTTGTCTAGGGTTGTATCTCCAAGAGGTCTGAGCTGGGATCCTGAGGGCCTTTGTGGTTCTCAAAAGTCATCTAAGCACCTCATTCTGTGAGCCCTGATCAGTGCATTTCCATTCACCGATAGCTACGTGGAATGTTTGGATTTGGATTGTATTACATGATCTGGGATTGTATTAAAATGTCAAGCCATTTATTCAGCAGCAGATGTCTCTATCTGGGCAAGTGCTGTGTACTTGGATTGTGACAGAACACAGTCTAGACAAACTTGTGACATCTAGGCCAAACTTAAAGGTCTTGAGGAGTCAGCTGGCTGAAGTCATCCAAGAGGCAGGCAGATGGAGAGGGGCAGGCCAGAAGATGGCTGTGTACCTGAAGCCAGAGTTAAAGGAAGTTGTGAGCTGCCCAGAATGGGTACTAGGATCCAGACTTCCGCCCTCCTCAATAGCAAGAAACCTAACCCCAGAGCCATATCTCTAGTTCCTGGGATTAATTTTTAAAAAGTAGAAAATGTCAGAGTACTTTGTATGGGGTAAGAATTAAATGCTGATACATGACATTTTTTTTTTTTCTAGTTTTTAATTTTGTGTAACTACACTGGTACCCATGTAAGCTTGGGAGCAGTGTAGGAGAAAAAGTATTTGTACAAATGAGGACTTGGGTTAGAGCTGGAGAGAAGGGTAAGAGGCAAGGGCCCCAGGCCTCAGCACAGAATTGTATCATTGTGTATCTGTATCTGCCTAAGTGAGGAGTGTTTTGCGGGGGACCATGGGAGCACTGAGATCCCAAATGGGACCAGCACTTGATCCTCTGGGAGGGAGAGAGCCTAGCCTTCTTAGTGGGTTCTCATGGTGTTCAGATCAGTTCCTGATGCTCTCTGCCCACAGCTCCTGCTGTCTTTCCAAGGAGAAGAGAAATGGCAAGTTGGAAAGCTGTTGTGGGGTGAGACAAGGGCATACACAGAACGTTGGTGGAGAGGGCTGAGCTCCTGACGTTGCACACTGATGGTAACATCCGTCTCTAGGCTTTTCCGTGGCTGTGCTAAATGGACACGTAACACACCTTTAAAGGTTTTTAAGTTGGGAGGCAGGAAGGTGTAAGAGCCATCATGGGGCAGATGGTAGCTGTGGAGTCTGCCTTGACTGGAAGGTCAGTGTGGACAGCTGCCTTGAAGGAGGACACTCCTGGCCCTGGAGCTCCCATCCTTCTTCATTGGATAATAGGATATTGGAAAGGTAATTGCTTAGCAGTACCTAGTTATTCCTTTTGTTGATGATGGAAACACGAAAAACCATTTATAAAGAATCTATCTGTTCCTTCTGCAGAAGTACAACCCCAAGCTCTGCTCACCCTCATGTTTAATTCATAGTCAACTGTGCTGTTGTGTGCTCGGCTGGATCTGCTAAAGGCGGGCTGGATCCTTAACCTGATACAGAGTTTAACCACATACTGAAAGACAGTGCTCTCATTTACACTTCTAAGGAGTTTAATCTTTTACCTGTGTAAAAGCAAATGCGAAGCAGAAGAGAAGTTTTGAACTGATTTTGTGTGTTTATAGCTAAAACACCAGGACTGGGAGGTGGAAGTCACCTGTGCTCTGTGTGGACTGTGAGAGTAGTTATGATTTCTCCTTTCTCTCTTTTGTTGTATCAAACCTGAATGAGTGACAGTGTCTCCTTCCCTTACCCTCTGGTGGCCAGGCAGTGAGTCAGGTGTCAGGAGAAAAGAACGATGCAGAGGGGCTTCTGCGCTTGATCTGCTTCAGCGGGATTCACACTACTGGGCATGCTCAATACAGACCGTGGTGAGGGGAGGGGCCTGCGGGAAAGTGGCAACTCTTAGACTCTCAGTTACAGTTTCTTGTGTGTCTCAGAGTATGTGTATCAGAACAGTCATGTCAGAGATAAATAGCCATGCGTGTATTTCAGTTACCTCCTTTCTGCGAGTGCCACTATTATGCATGTGATCACAAATGTTTGGAAGCCACTTTATGTCCAAATAGGTTGTGATGACTTTCTCTTATGTTGTAACATTTCGAGGAAGGGAAAGGCTTTCTGTGCATTATAGACCATGTTCTCGGTGATGTCATGTCTTTGCCTGACTTTGACCTCCCAGAGTGCAGTGTGTAGAACTCAACTTCTGTGTCCTGAGGAGCCGCTTTCCCGTGCTGGTGACCCAACATCACCTTGTGCTGATTGGAGTCTCTAGATGGAAGGCACAGCCTTTTCCTAATCTCGCCCCACTGTGGGTGAATGGAACATGGGGGTTCGGGGGGAGGCTGTCATACCCAAATGTGTGACCTTCCCACCCTGTTCATATCAGTGGACTCTTGAGTAGCAGGTGGGATTCTGGCTGAAGGTTCTGGCAGCCCTTTGCCCAGATCAAACCTGTCCTCAGTGTGGATTGTCTTTCCTTTCAGATATCCAGGCAGCCCCGGCCTCAGGAAGTTCTTGCACTTTCTCAGATTCTTGCCTTAAAAGTAGAGCTGCTGCTATCGTCAGTGTGCTTTACTTGAAGCTTATTGAATGAATTTAGATGGTTCCTTTGAGACTTTGGTTTCATTTTTTTTTGTGTGTGTCAGAGACAAGTACATACTTTAATTTATACTCACAGTTTGTCGTTTAAAACACAGTTCCCACAGGATTTGTTAAGTGACATCTTCCATGTGTGTTTGCAGGTCGATGACAGTGAGAAGCATGCTTTCCACTGCTCTCCCTGATCCCATTTGCCACCCAGGATGTCTGTGAGTGAGAGTGCAGTGTTTGCCTACGAGTCCTCTGTGCATAGCACCAACGTCTTGCTCAGCCTCAATGACCAGCGGAAGAAGGACGTGCTGTGCGATGTCACTGTCCTGGTGGAGGGCCAGCGCTTCCGAGCCCACCGCTCGGTGCTGGCTGCATGCAGCAGCTACTTCCACTCGAGAATCGTAGGCCAGACTGACGCAGAGCTCACCATCACACTGCCTGAAGAGGTGAGGGGCCACCGAGGTGGTGATTACAACCTATTGTTACCTAGCTACCTTCTGGTTATGAACTGAAACAAACCCTAGTCTCCTGGGGAGATGGGTATCCCAAGGAGCATCACTGTAGCAACCCTTCTCCGGCATTTGTTGTAGGAATATTTACACGTAAAATTATCACTTTGGATGTTAACATTGAACAGTGGAATATTTTGATACAATCCCTACATCGTAGTCCACCTGATGGAGTATAAGCTTTTGGACAGCTTCTGGCTTAGGGGGTGCTGGCTGTGTGATTAGGGATCAGCACACTGGTTCAGGATGTGTGCACTCTCCTGAGACATTTCCCATGAAAAACAGGCAATGCATAAGTGGATTTCTCCTTGTTTTCTTTCTTGTTCTTAACATTGTGCTTTAGTGAAAGAAGTGATGTGTTGTCTTGACCAGTGAGATGGCTTAGCAGGTAAACACACTGGCTAAGCTGTTGACCTGGTTTAATTTCCTGAACTCACATGGTGGAAGGAGAGAAGTAAATCCCGCGCGAGCTGTCCTCTGACCTCCATGCATGGTGGCGTAACCCTTCCTCATCCCCCTTCCAATAAATAAATGTTAAAAATAAGAAGTGGTTTGTTGTCTTATTATGGAGCCCTGTTTTACACACGCATTTCCACCCTGCCTGTATAACTCAAGCTTATAAATATTATTGTCTCTGCCATTGTCTCAGCTTCAAGGGACTTGTCTGAGGTGGGGGAGGGCTGGCTGCACTATTCTTCCTGGCTCTGTTTACTGGAGTATGTGCTTTGGTAGTCATGGCCATTAGCATATTTTGACTTTGGACACAGAGTTGTAAGGGGAAGAGGAGGAGAAGGAAGTGTGTAGAATGGATTGTATATGAGGTATCATGCAGATGTTCCCCCGTTGGCCATAATTGGATGATCTCCAAACTAACCCCCAGGGAGTCTGTGCTGGTGCTGCATCTGTGTGGCTGTGGCTGGAGTGTTGAGGTGTGAGTCAAGGATGCCTTCCCAGTGTTTTACAAAGGGACGTGAGTCACAGCGGCGTGCTTTCTACAGCTCACATTTCTGGCTCTTTAAGGAGGTTCTGCAGGTAGAACAAAGTTTGTTTAATGGATTTTTGAGAGGTGTATATATTTATACACAGATATACATATAATGCATATATTTGGATGTTTCACGTTCATTCTGACAAAGTATAAGTCACATGTCTTCAAATATTTTAACTGTTTTATCACAGTAGATTGCAGACATTGCATATATTACTTAATAGTTTTAGCATATTTTGGAAAATTCTTACCAAAATTCTTATTAGGATTATTATATATCTGTTGCAGTTGCAAAGAGTAATGCAGAGTTTCCTTTTAGTCTTTGCTCAGTGTTCTATGGCTCACGTTTTATAATTAATAGTGTTCTCACAGAAATGTTGCTGTAGACACAGTTCACACCTGGTAGTCAGATGGCTGTTCTGTTATATGCATTAATTCGCTTCTGTAGAGTTCTGTGATGGTTCCTGTATTCATGGCCAGTTAGGATCTAGAGCAGCCGAGCACCCAAGTGTTCGTGTGCTCCTTACACTAATTCCTCCCCACACTTGGCCCCGGACCGCTTTCCCTCTTCTGGCTCCAGATGCTGGCCACCACAGATCTGTCTTCCTCTTGTGAAGTTTGCTTGTTTCCAAGCAGGTGTGTAGGTGGGACTGTTGAGGGTTGTGTGCCCCTCTTGCATTGCCCTTTTCCCACTTAGGATCATTCCCTTGATATTATTCAATTTCATGTGTCAACAGTTTATTCTGAGTTGCTGATGAATGCTATAATAGTTATGTCTTAATTCTTCTTTTTAGAACCTTTTACTTATTGAAGGAACTGAGATTAGTTTCAGGTTTTTTTGTTTGTTTGTTGATTTGTTTTTGGTTTTTCAAGACAAGGTTTCTCTGTGTAGCCCTGGCTATCCTGGAACTCACTCTGTAGACCAGGCTGACATTGAACTCAGAAATCCGACTGCCTCTGCCTCCCAAGTGCTGGGATTAAAGGTGTGCGACGCTACTTCCCGGCTAGTTTCAGTTTTTATCTGGTACAGATAAAAGTTGGTATAGAATTTTTTTTTTTGTCACGGTCTCATTTATTAGGAATAAAAACCAGAAGTGAATTTCTGCTAATAAGGTAGTTGCACATTTAGATTTATAAGAAATGACCAAGTGACTTTTTAAAATGGGTGTCCATTGGACTTTTCCACCAGCGTTGAAAATGATCCAGTTCTGTTCTTCTTAAAGAATTTGTTGGTGTGTATTTTTTTTTTAGCTGTTTCAAGCTAAATGCTATAAAGTTAGCATGTTTTAGACAAGTCTTAGTATTTTTGATCAGTTTGATAGTAACTCAAAAGTGTTGGAGTAATTTACATATTTAATGTGAGGCTGAGTGTTCTCTGCACATTTTGAGTCTCTTTCTGCCCAGCTTGGCAAATACAGAGTCAGTATAAATGCACAAATATATGCTCAAAGGTTCTGCTGCTCAGTGCCTGGAGACAGAATTTTAGAACCTTTGCAGTCTGGATCATTAAAAATGTTACTATTAGATATATTTGGCACAAGACAGTAGTTCTGTTTTTTTTTAAAGATTTGTTTTATTTATTTATTTATTTGTTTGTTTTATTTTTATTATTTTATTCTTTTTAGCTACATGTTTATGTGCTTATGTGTATCTGTATGATACGAGTGCAGGTGCGAGCGCAGGCATCCGATCTCCCAGAGCTGGAGTGATAGCATTCGTGAGCCTTTCCATGTGGGGTGCTGGAATCGAACTCAGAGTCTCTGCAAGAACTGCTGGTGCCTGTGATCTCGGAGCTCTCTCTGCAGCAATGCTCTTCATTCTTAAAAATCCCCTCTGTGGCTTATTGCTGCTCACATTTTTGGTCTCTGGGAGCTATGCTATCCTTACACACCCTGCACAGTCATTGTCTTTTTCTTCTAGCAGGGCAATGGGTGGATCCGCCCTGCTTTATTTCATAGGAGAGTTGTTTCCACATGGGGGAATCGTGGTCATGTCTTAGGAGTAGCACGGATTGATGTGATGTTACAGAATTGGAGGTTTAGTCCTGTTGAGTAGGGGTTGTACTCTGCCTAACCTTAGTTTGACATTTCCTAGAGCAGTGAGCTCCACCTTTCTGATGCTGTGACGCTTTCACACAGATCCTCATGCTGTGCTGACTTCCAACTGTGAAATTATTCTTGTTGCTTCTTCATAGCTGCAATCTTGCTACTTTTATGAATTGTAAGTGTCTGATAGGCAGGGTATCTGATAGGTGACCCCTGTGAAAAGGTCATTCGATGTCCTACAGGGTTATCTCTTCTTAGGGAATTGACGTGTCTGTTGTTTGGTGATCCCAGATCAGTTTGCGCTCTCCCTGTTGCTCGGCTGCTTCTGTTGTCTCGATCAGACAGCTGTTGAACCACATGTTTATCTTTATCTTGTGTATTAACAGGTAACAGTTAAAGGATTTGAACCTTTAATTCAGTTCGCCTACACTGCCAAACTCATTTTAAGTAAAGACAATGTTGACGAAGTGTACAAGTGTGTGGAGTTTCTAAGCGTACACAATATCGAGGAATCCTGCTTTCAGTTTCTCAAGTTTAAGTTTTTGGACTCCACCTCAGAGCAGCAGGAATGTGCAAGAAAAAAATGCTTCTCCTCACACTGTCAGAAGGCAGATTTTAAATTTTCATTTTCAGAACAGAAAGACCTAGAAATTGATGAAGCAGATGAATTCTTGGAAAAGAAAAGTGTTCAGACTCCTCCTTGTGACTCCCAAAGGTGTCAGGGCAATGTAAAAGCATCCCCTCCCCTCCAAGACAGTGCCAGTCAGACATGCCAGTCCATGTGCGTGGACAAGGATGGAGCCCTGGCATTGCCATCTTTATGCCCCAAATATAGAAAGTTCCAGAAAGCCTTTGGAACTGACAAGATCCGAACTCTAGAATCCAGCATCAGAGATGTCCATACTGCCTCTGTCCAGCCAAATGAGACATCCGAACTTGAGTGTTTAGGGGGAGCACAGGGCTGTGCAGATTTACACGTGATTTTAAAATGTGAAGGAATGAAGCCAGCCATGGAGAGTGAACACACAAAGTGCAAAGACCCCACCCCTCAGTGTACTGCAGAGCAGACCGAAGTGACGTCCTTGCCTCAGGATTCTGCAGGACCTCACGGGCTCTACTCCCTGTCAGTCCTACACACATATGAGCAGTCAGGAGACGTGGGCTTTGCTGGGATGCAGAGTAAAACAGTGAAAACAGAAAAGCCTCTGTCGGGTCCAGATGGCCAGGATGAGAAGCCATTGGAAAATCAGGATTTATACTTGAAGTCTAACATGGGCCCCAAAGAAGACAGCAGCAGCCTTGCGTCTGAGGATCGGAGTAGTGTGGAGCGAGAGGTGGCAGAGCACCTGGCCAAAGGCTTTTGGAGTGACATTTGCAGCACGGACTCGCCTTGCCAAATGCAGTTGTCGCCTGCTGTGGCCAAAGATGGCTTAGAACAGGGCTACTCGCAAAGACGGTCTGAGTGTCCCTGGTTGGGTATCAGGATCAGCGAGAGCCCAGAGCCAGGCCAGCGGACCTTCACAACTCTCAGTTCCGTCAACTGCCCGTTTATCAGTACTCTGAGTTCTGAAGGCTGCTCAAGCAACTTGGAAATTGGAAACTATGATTACACTGCGGAGCCTCAGCAGGAGCCTTGCCCGTATGCTTGTGTGATTAGCCTGGGAGATGACTCTGAGACCGACACAGAAGGCGACAGCGAGTCCTGTTCTGCCAGGGAGCAGGACTGTGAGGTGAGTGGACATGTGCGCTCGCTGTTCACCCAGGCCATTCATGGGGATGCGGGGAGGGGGAGACCACGTGACAAGCTCCCGCGTGGTGAAGTGGAGTGTGTGTATGCATTGCACATTGCTGGGCGTATTAATTGTGGAGGAGACCACAACTCAGGCTTGAGTAACTTGTAATCACATTCCTCAGTAAGGAGACCGGACAGCAAGTCTTTCATAAGTGGTAACTTTTAAGCGAGAGCATCATTTAGTCTCTAGTGCCTGTAGTCCCCAGGTTGTCAAACCTGAGACCAGTCTGGTATGTGAGCTGTGGCTGGCTGTGAATAGCTGTAGGATTGTGGTGTGTAGGGAAAGCTTTCTCTGAATTAATTTTCATAGCTATTGATTTTATTTATTATTTTATTTTCTTTAGCCATTTTAAGTATTTGTTTAATGAATATCTTAATAATTTAGCATGAGTTACTTGCAGCTACTAACTTATATTAACCACATCAAGCTTCATCTGTGCGTTCAGTGTATAGAAGTTTGTACTTACTGCTTGATGTTTGCTTCTGTAAAATATGTTTCAGTAATAGAAAGTAGGGATCCGTGCGTATGAAATAAGGAACCTTTAGTTGTCAAAAGCCAAGCTTCTCTTTACAGTGGCTGTTCTCATTTTGCTTCTCTAAATAATTTTCAATCATACTTGTTTCCTTTTTATGTGTGTTTTACTTGCATTTCAAGTCTGTGATAACAGGAGGCCTGCCTATGCAAGTGTCCTAAGTGCACAGCATGGCGTTTTTAGCTCTGTTCATTGCATTAGCATGCTGTATCTCTATAACCTGCTTTTGTAATTGAAACTCACTGAACGCCCTTGCCACACCTCACCTCCCAGCGTGAGGCCCACCGCTCTTCTGTTGCTGTTGATTTGACTGTTTTAGTTATCACCTGTAATAGGTAAGATAATGTAGGATTCATTCTATGGAATTTGGTTGATTTTGCTTGGTGTAATGATGCTCTTCAGACCGCAGCTTTCCTTTTCGTATGGCTGACCGAGTTCCACAGAGTGCACATGCGCCCCCTTTTTTCTTCTTTTTCTTTTTTTTTTGTCCACTGAGCTATGTGTAGGGCTCAGGTGGTCTCTCTGCTTGGGCTGTTGTGAATGAGAGTGCTGCAGTGCGTGTAGAAAGGACTTTGAGGTCTGAACTCAGTTCATTTGGACAGGTACCTGGGGGTAGGAAGTACTGACTATGTGGCAGGCACCTTAATCTTCCTGAAACTTGATGCTGGTTTTCATCGCATCGGTACTGCTTCCTGGCATCCTTGTATCGGGACCCATTTCTCCGTGTCCCGTTCTTCACCACTGTCTTTTGCTTTGTAGCAATTAGAGGGTGTAAGTCTGAGAAAGCTGCTTTTCCTGAAGGGAGATGGATTGTAAGGCCTGGGGTTCAGTCACTGGCACCTCCAAAACAGACTGACCAAAAATATTCTAGGAAAAAATATTCCTAATTTGTTCTAATACTTTCTTCATTGGCAAGTGAGATGTTTAGCTTTTGAGGAACACATATTAAAAATGCTTTAGGCAAAACCTAACGAAGTTGGTAACATATTAACTAGTAAAATACTAACATACAGTAGTAAGGTAAGTTCGTTTTAAATTCATTACTGTTTGGCTGGTGTGTCTGGTTTGCTGAACTGTTTGACTTTTGAATGCTCTCCCAGGCCAATAGTGTCAGGTGGACTATTAGTTCTTACTGGGGTAGATTATGTAGAAACTAATTTTTAAGGATTTATTTTACTTAGGTGCATATGTGTGTCCGTGTGTGTGTGTGTGTGTGTGTGTGTGTGTGTGTGCGCGCGCGCTGGTGTCCACAGAGAGCCAGAGGTGTTAGATCCCTGGAGCTGGGGTCAGAGTCAGTTGTGAGCTGCCCAATATGGAGGCTGAACATAGAAATCAGCTCCTCTACAGGGCCAGCAGCACCCTGAACCTCTGAACCATTCCTCCAACCCAAGGTGTGTCTTTTGTAATGTGCTAAAGTCTCTGAAAAATGTAATGTGTGTCTTCCTGTGTAGCTAATGTGCAGTGCGTGACTTCTCTGCAGTAGGTCCTAATGTTTACTTCACATTCTAGGTGAAACTGCCATTCAATGCTCAACGAATAATTTCACTCTCACGAAATGATTTCCAGTCCTTGTTGAAAATGCACAAACTGACCCCAGAGCAGCTGGACTGTATCCATGACATCCGCAGGAGGAGTAAGAACAGAATCGCAGCGCAGCGCTGTCGCAAGAGGAAGCTTGACTGTATCCAGAACCTTGAATCAGAAATCGAGAAGCTGGTGAGTGGGTAGATATCTCGTAGTTATTAAAGCCCAGATCTTTCTGTTTGTAGAATAATTACTTAAATTCCAAGGTAAGATTCAGAGTTCAAGTACCATTTAAGAGAAATTAGGACATATTTAGGAGGATTAGAAGATATAAAATAGAGTTTTCATTAATTCTTTGTATTTGTATGCATTCTACATTTTTAGCATGATATACTAAAATGTGTAGGTGGGAAAGTATTTCTGGGTATTTTTTTTTTAATGATTTTTCAATTTAATGACTGTTCTATCTAATCCTTAGTGGTTGAATAAAGATTAAAGCAATTATACAGTACTTTAATCTATGATGTTTGATTCCTGTAAAAGCTATTTTCCAGTTGAGTAGAACTACGGACCTGAATTGTTCTGGTACCAAGACCAAGCAGATGAACCAGGCTCTCTCTGCCAAGGGAAAAGTCTGACGTGATGTGGTTAGAGTAGAAACCTCTGAGCTGCGGCACGATCCTCAGTGCACGGAGTGATTGCCTATTGGATCTATCTCTTCCAGCTTCAAAGCATAAGCTAATTGCAAAATTATTAATTTTCCTCCATTGTGTGAGAGGATAGTGAGGGTGTAGGCCAACTGAGGGCCACATATGGGCTAGGTGACAGGGCAGCAGCAGCTGGAGACAGTAAAGAGAGTCCTCAGATACTCAGCTTTGTGTCTTTGCTAATTAAGGGTGAAAGTTTAAAGCTGTGCTTATAATTGGTCTTCAAGCACTTCAAGAACATTGTAGTTCTGAGCAAGATTAGCAACAGTAAGATGTAAAAGATGTTCTTATGGTTTTAAGAGTACTTTATTATGTATATACCACACACATACTTAGGGGAAAGGTACAAGAATAACTCTGTAGAACGATTGGTTTTAAGAGTACTTTATTATGTATATACCACACACATACTTAGGGGAAAGGTACAAGAATAACTCTGTAGAACGATGAAGAAGTCAGGTGAGACCTCAGACTGACTAGAGTTCCTAGGACCACAGAGCAGACTCACACAGGCAGCAGGCCTGCAAGTACCGTTACACTCTGGTTGTCTTTCGTATCCCTCTCTAGCGCTTGGGTGCCTCTGGATGGATGAGCGTGTAGTCTTTGTTGTCCGTTACTGTGGTGTATGCTATTTACACTATTGGTTACGTGGGGCTGTCTTAGGAGTGAACTAGAGCACTTGCCCCTGCTTCCTGCATAACTCTCCCCCAGCTGGGCGTCACAGTCTTCTCACTCCAGAAAATAAACACGTCTGCTGAAGAGTCACTGTATTTTATGCACAGGGCATGGGCTGTGTGTTTCAGAGTAGTTTTGCAGGTTGCCATTACCTGGCTCAGAGGTCCCATATTTGGTGACTAAAGGCAGATACTAGGTTGCTGGATAACTTTTTTTTCTAAGCAGAGTTTATATATCTAGGGTGATGAGGAGGATAGGAGATGCAGTCTAAAGTGTGGGGTGGGTGGGATCTTACTTACCACTTTGTAGTTAAGATGTTCGTTTGTGACGAGCGAATGATTTGCTGTGTCAGAACTCCCAAGGATCACTTAGAGTCAGCACCCAATAAATCCAAGTGATTTCTTGTTCCGGCCACATCATTGTTTACTTACAGACAGCTCTCCAGGCCTCTGTTGGCTTCCTTCCTCATGTCTCCTCCTGACAATGTGTTAGTTCACTTTCTATTGCTATGCTGAACACCACAACCACAAGCCACCTGAGGAGGAGAGGTGTACTTCTCTTCCTTGTCCACAGTCCATATCTGGAGAAGTCAGGGCAGGAGCTGAAACAGAGACCACACAGGAGTGCCGCTTACTGCCTTGCTCTCTGTGGCTTTGCTCAGCTAACCAGGACTAACTGCCCAGGGGTAGCACTGCCCATAGTGGGTAGATGTCTTCCACTTCAATAATTAATCAAGGCTTGCCTACAAGCCATCTGTCGGAAGTATTTTCTCAGCTGAGGTTCCTTTTGGGATGACCCTAGCTTGTAAGACTGACCAGCTCAGCTGTGAACTCTGATCGGGGCTCCTCTGTTCCCTTCCTCTCAGCCCTGAAGGGCTCCTTTTATCAACAGAGAAAGGTCATTGCCTTCCAGTTTTGTGGCCTTATTGTGAACACAGAAATCAAAATAGCTAGTCCTGTTTACTTGTTGTATTGGTTTAGACTCTGGGTACAGTACCCAGGAACCATCCTCAGAGTGGATGGAGTAATCTGCTCTAAGGGGGAGTCTGGAGGACAGAGCCAGGTCTTGTGAACAGCGTGGAGCTAGGAACCCATGAGTGGGTTGCTCCCAGCTCTTAAGGCATTCATGAACATGGTAACACTTCCAGTCATCTCTAAATGCCCCAGGAGGAAGGAGGAGGACTGACCTCATGAGGCTTATGTCCTTGTGTGTGACTGCAGAACAGAGACCAGAGCAGAGAGCTGAGAATCTTTCAGAGCAGCCCACGCATACGGCTGATGGAGTCTGCTGTTCTCACAGTTCAGTTCTGTCACAAAACCCTGCCTGGAGAGCCTGGTGGCTTCTGTGTGGTCGAGCTGGGCAGTGGGTGTGGGATCCCTGAACCCCACTCAATCCTTACCTCTCTCATCCTAGTCATTTACAAACACTAGGTGCAGAGCCAAGGGGTGCACTCCACATAAATGTCAGTCCTGCTTTCCTGTCTCACATGCCCTTCTCCAAAAGGAGGGGTGGCAAGAAGTATGTTTATTAGCAAATAATAATGAGAAAGCTGCCGGAAGTATAAAATGTGATGCTTAAACTACAGATGCATGGCACATGGTGACATCATGGCATGATTCAGTGCTCTGCTGAATCAGTTTCCCCACCGTGGGGAAGCTCACAGGTTGCTGTCACCATACATAGGGTGAGGCGGGGGAAGGGAATCTGCAGGAGAACATATGGAGAAAGTGGTAACTTCTATAGACCACAGCAGATTCCTTTAGAAGTCTGATTCTCAGACTAGAACGCCATCTCAGTGAGGAAAGAGCTTGGTGCCCAGCTTGAGTTTAACCCATGGAACCCACATGATGGATTGAGAGAATTCTCTGTGACCTTCACATATGTGCCATGGCACGTTGACCGTCCTCCAAGTAAATTAATGTAATGAAACAAGTGCCCCTGAAAAGCTTCCCTGACAGAGAGGAGCGTCTGTTACCTACTTATTTGCGGGGATGATGGAGAACACAATACAAACCAACCACACTACCTTGTACCTGTCTCTGCAAGGTGAGCCCTTCTCAGTAGAGCCCCAGGCAGGTCCTCAGAAGGGAGCTGGTGGAACCGGAGTTATCACAAGAGTTCTTCCATGTGTGTCACACCCCTGAAGACCCTCCAGAGGGGCAAGGTGTCGTGGTGTCATCAGGTACACTGGTACTGCTAATTCTATGCAAGCCAGGCCAGCATGTGCTGCTTTTTTTTTTTTTTTTTTTTTTTTTTTATGAAATACTTTGAAAGTACTTTAAAAAGGAATACAGAAAGGCTAAGGACACAAAAAATACTTTTGCTATAGCTGCACAGTATTTGTACTTAACTTTAGGTACATTTGGAACTCTGCCATCACCGTCTTATTTTATCTTATTTTTGTATGGTAAGCCATGTTATTTCAATACTTTTTTTTTTTTTTGGTTTTTCGAGACAGGGTTTCTCTGTGTAGCCCTGGCTGTCCTGGAACTCACTCTGTAGACCAGGCTGGTCTCGAACTCAGAAATCCGCCTGCCTCTGCCTCCCAAGTGCTGGGATTAAAGGCGTGTGCCACCACTGCCCGGCTGCCATGTTATTTCAAATGTTACAAAATAACCCTGAAGTATAAAGTAAACAATTTATAATGAACTAGGTTTACTACTGAAGAAAAAAATGCGATGCACTGAAGCAGTTAGGATAGCCTGAATATATGCTTGCCAGGGCCCTGGTGAACACAGTCATGTCCAAACCTTTGGCTCGCTGGCTTTCCCTCCAGCCAGAGCAGCACCCAGTCCTGGGAGCTCCACTGTGCAGGGGCCTGTGCAGGTGCATATTCTCTGAGCCACGTCTTCACGGAGCCCTTTCATGTTTGGATAGGTGCGGATATGCAAACACTTACAGCTTCAGGAAGGAACACGCTGTTCAGGTGTGTAGCCCAGGAGCTAACAGGCTCGATCTCAGCCCAGGTGTGTTGCACGGGGCACCATTTCCATGTTTGTACAGCGGTCTAGTTGCCTCAGAAGACATGTTGTAGAGCATGTTCCTGTTAAGGATCACATGATTATAATCTTCAGAAGTTAACGCGTGTTTGAAGTTGGGGTGCTCAGACACTGTCCCCCCCCCACCCCCACCCCCCGCCCCAGTACTGAGCCTAGGGCCTCACAGATGTTAAGCAAGCCGTGACTGTTGCCTTCCCCATTTTGAAGAAGTCTCCAGGTGGTGTCTCACTGAAGTTGCCTAGGTTCACTGTGAGCTCCTGCTGCTCCCCTGTTGGGCAGTACTCACAATGCTCTGAAGTGGTGTGTTGGTTTCCTTTTACTACTTAGCAACTATTCTGACTTGCCCAGGTAAATTGATGTTTTCAAAATAGACTAAATGGAAACACCAGTTAACTGCTGCAGATGTGGCTGTGAAGGACTTGCTGGACTGTGAGGAGCAGAAGGAAGATTCTAGAGCTCGTGGTGTACCTGGGCACAAGTCCTCTTCTGTGGGACATTGTTATTTTTAAAAGCGTGTGCATGTGCGTGTGTGTGTGTCTGTGGTGTATGTTTGGGGTGCATTTGGTGTGTGTGTATGTGTGTCTGTCTCTATGTGTCTGTGGGAGGAGGGCACGAGTGCATCCTATTCCCGTGTGTTCATGAGGGGCCAGAGGCTATTCGGGTTCTTTCTCCATTGTCCTCTGCCCTTTGAGCACACCTGCAGCTTGCTGTGTTTTGGCTTGGCTGCCTGGTCAGCAAGCCACAACAGTCATTCTAAGACCTTCCACCCCCAGTGCAGTTTAACTTTTTACTTGGGTTCTGAGGATTTGAACTCAGATCCTTATGTCTGGGCAATAATCACTCTTGACCCACTGAGCCGTCCCCTGACTCTTCTTGGACATTTTTATTTTGTGTTGCAGTGTGAATGTGAATGTGGAGGGGCCAGATAGATAGATAGACAGATAGTTACATGAAGATACAGAAATTACATAATATTTGTGATCTAACGTCTCTGAGCAGTGGTTTTGGTTTCTGGGAGGAAGCCCACACAGTCACCGTTACAGCTAACCTTTCCTAATTTAAAAGGCTGGCAGTACTTGACAGTTAGTCTACTGCTGTTGAGAATGGCCTCACCTCAGCTGGGACAGAGGAAGCCAGATGTTGGTATTGCTGTCACTGAGTAAAGAGAGTTCTTACTCTCTTTCAGGGTCTTGTTTCTGCTCCCACTAGGATGAGCTGCAGAGAGGTGCAAAGAAAAGAGGGCACAGATGGTATGAAATGTGTCTCTTCTCAGGAATAGAAGTCAGTGCTGCTCTCCTCCTGACACCTGCAGATTGATTTGATCTGAAGTCTGTAGCTGACAAATGCGGTGTAAGAGGAAATGGCTGAGTGAGAGCCAGCTTACACACGAACGAGCATGTGCATGTTCACTCTTCACCTGCTCCTGTTTGAAAAGAAATATAGAAATTCGAACAAATTGGAGAATTGCTTTGAATTATAAAAATTTATATTGTGCTTATAACAATAATTTCTATTCATCGCATATTTTAAAATATGATATAATCTTAATGTTTTACAAACACCACTAATAATTGAATTCTCACATAACACTGTAGAAATATATTTGTGAATATGAAACCATAAGAGCACTTCCATATCTAGCAGAGCTCTTACTACCCTTAAACTGTTTTTGTGTCTGAGGGACCAAAAGTTTGACAGTTAGAAATTACTGCTGAAATACCCCATCTCAGTGGTCTCCAGCAACCCTGGCTCTGTAGAGCTGTCAGTGAGCAGAAAGCAGACGGCGGTGGCCTCTGGTTCCCTAAGACACAAGTCATTTTCATGTGGGAACCTTTGGCCCTCAGTTAGCATTAACTCTCGTTTACAAGCAGCGCGATGATTAGGTTGCCTAGCACGTAAGAGATTAGAAGTGAGCGGTAGGAGGTGAAGGAGGAGGTGGGATGAGGGGGAAAGGGAATGCGGCAGTGATGCCTGGTGTGGGCAGAAGGGACAGACCAGGAAAACTTACTTAAGTGGTACACTTTCTTAACCCTGTCACTGCTTACGCTATAGGAACTGACCTCCCCGGCATCTTGTATGGGTATGCTGAAGTCTTACTCCTGTTTACTAAGTCACTGTATGGATTCTATAGATGAGGTAGCATGTTTAAGACATTGACCATAATGCTGGGTTCACAGTCATGTCTCAGGAAAGCAGGCATTAGCTGAGTCTTGCGGTGAGATAAGTTTCAGGGGCTAATCTAGGAACTCTATTGGTCTCCACACAGGGTCAAGTCTGTACTTACCCACAGTTCAAACCCAAGCACTTCTGACAGTGAGTTTGTCTTGGAGTCGTGGCCAGAACCCAGCCCATTTTGATAACCAGCTACAAGTTCTTTCCCCTACTTTCTACCTTACTTGATATTTCAGTGTTTCATTTAAGAGTATAAAGATGTTTGGTGGTGGGTGCTAACTTTACACACATATGAGCACTTGTGTGCATACCTGTATTGAATTCCAATATAGGGACTGACTCGGGTTTTGGATGAAGTATTATGAGCCTTTGGTATTTGGTGTTTGTGTGTGTGTCTGTCTGTGTCTGTGTGTTTAACTTTCAGTTTATGTATGTCTTGTGCGTGGAATACTATGTACTTGGAATAGTATATATATACTCCATTACATGAGGACACTGTCATATGAGCGCATATTGTACACTGAGAACGTCGTCCTCATCCCTGTCTTACCTCCCACTCCCTTTAGTCTTCTTTGTTCCTCTAGACTTGTTTCTGCTTTCATATCATATGTGATTTTTATGTGTCTATATAAAAATCAAGGACCTACATATGAGGGAGAACATTTGTGTTTCGAACACTGGGTTAATTTGCTTATTGTAAACTTCAGTAGTATCTGCTCTCCTGCAACAACATAACCTTGTTTTTCTTTATAGTGGAAAAGATTCCACTGTGTACTGATGCACGCCACCCCTTCCTCTGTGGTTGGGCATCTTGGTCGATCTCCTGACTTTTAGGTATTGTGAGTAGTGCTGCAGCAAACATTGCGTGTGTGTCTGTGGTGAGTTGGCATGGGTGTGTGTTTGAGTTGATTGAAAGGCAGCATTCAGCATGATCTTACTGAAGACGACATTGTAGACAACTGAGTGTTTGATTGCCTTAGAGATGTCAGTGGACACAATAAACACCATTGTGTTCTCTCTCCCCTCTGCACAGCAAAGTGAAAAGGAGAGCTTGCTGAAGGAGCGAGATCACATTTTGTCGACGCTGGGGGAGACAAAGCAGAACCTTACCGGACTTTGTCAACAAGTGTGCAAGGAAGCCGCTCTGAGTCCAGAGCAGATTCAGATCCTCGCCAAGTACTCGGCCTCAGACTGCCCGCTTTCTTTCTTAATTTCTGAGAAAGGGAAAAGTACTCCCGATAGTGAGCTTGGTTTTACATCAGTTTTCAGTGTGTCTGACATGCCTCCAACTGCACCGCCTCCCTGTGGACGAGCAAGCAGCTCTGCCAGCCAGGAGCTTATACAGGAGTCCCAGCCAACCACCGCAGCTGTCCCGGAGCAGGCCACGAGGTTGGAGCCCTGTCAGCAGAGTGCTGGGATCTCAGACTTCTGTCAGCAGATGTCTGATAAGTGTACTACTGATGAGTAAGCCACACAAGCATCCTTCAGCCCATGGATTTCCCTCTGATGTGCTGGCATTGTCTTGAGAGCCTAGTGTGGCCGTGTCTTCTTGCTTAGCAGCCCTGTTTCCTCCTGGTAGCTTTCTGTTGAGGGAATTTCTCTTTAAGATGACCCTGAGTTCTCTTTGGTTTTCTTAGGAGATCTGACGTGCTATCTCTTGGATGATGGGAAATTGTATGTGAAAATATAGAGTGACCAGGTAATAATCTCCTAGTGTTCAAAATAACTACAGCAATGGAAGCTACAGTATTCATTTTGACAGCTCGAAGCATCTGCACACAGTCCTCCTGGGCTGGGGATAACCTACTGATCAGAAAGAAGAATCCTCCCTAAGCAGTGCAGTGGTGATCTCCCCAGAAGTGGGGTACTCAGTGTTTATGCAGAGCTGTAATGTGGAAAAGAAATCTCCTTTGAACTCTAACACTCTGCTCCTCAGCTCCTACCAAAGTCCAGCATGGGCTGGACCTGGTGACTGAGGCTGTCCTGGCAGGGCCTAGTCAAAGGCCACAGCTGGCCTGAGCTGGAGGCCTCTGCTGTCCTCAGTATTGACCAGGAGTTTTGGCTGCACAAATCAGAAAGTGTAATGTTCTCTGCTCTCACTTCTGTTCCTCTCTTTAGTCTCCACCTTGTCTAGGCTGTTTGGAATCTTCTGTTCCCTGACTTTTCTTGTCCCATGGAGGAAGAAGTTGGGAGTTAGGCCGAAGCGGCCTGAGTGTGCACACAATCTGGCCAGAACCGTAGTTGCCACAGTCTGGGAGAGCTTCACTCTGTGTGAGGCTGTCAATCGTCTCGTTGCAGGTCACGGATGACCTTGAGGGCGTTGGGGTCAAGGAGAGGGAAATGTCTACATTGACCAGAAGAGCAGCTCGTTGGTATCCTAGTGAAGACTTGTGGTCTGTAAAAAAGCCGTGTTGAGGCAAACATCCGAGACTGTACTGGCGTTTGAAACGATAAAATTCGGTCTCGGCCATTATGGGTTTGCACTTGAGAACCAGATTTAATCCTTTTACTTTATTTTTTTTCCTATTCCTCCATTTGGTATGGTGTAAAGGCACACACACACCAGTTTGACTTGGCCATTGAAAGATCAGTCTGTGCCTATTTAATGTTGGTAGAAAATGAATTGATAAGAATCTGAGCAGTTACCCCCGTAACATTTTCAGTGATTCTTAGCCATTCTGGAATCTCACCTTGTAGATCTCAGCAGTGGAAACAAAACCTTGTTTTTACAGGTTCAATATCCCTGTTCAAGGAGTGTGAGATGCCTTAACATTGGAGGTATTCTGAGCACCGAGATGTGGGATATTCAGTCCTGATCTCATGAGGCAGGTTGTAGTCAAAACAGTACATGCAAAGTCTTCTGAACGCTACTTTATATGCCTAGGGTACATAGGATTTCAGACTTTGGGGAGGGTCTGACCCTTAAGCTCTCCTACCCTGTTGAGAGCAGGGGAGAGCCTGAAGTCTGAAGCTGCTCTGCATCAGACATCTCCAACAAGGGAGTCCATTCCCAGGAGCACTTAGAGTCCTGTGTCAGGGTGCAGGGCAACAGTCAATAGGACTTCGTCTCTCCAGGTCACTCCAGGTCATGTACCTGAAAGAGACACTGCACTGCATGCTGCATCTACTGAAGGGCAGAGGGACAGAGGGAGAGAGGGAGGGGGGAGGGACGGGGGCGAGAAAGTGCACACTACCCTGAGTGGTATCCAGTCACTGGCAAGCTGATGTTTGCCATGAGACGAACGGGGACCAGCAGCAATATTTTATGATTTTAGACTTATCAGATATTGCCCTTTTTCCTTGAGGTGCAGCAAGAGAGGGAGGAGGGGAATATGTGTTTCATCTTTGGAAGAGAAAATTAAATTGGAATTCTTTCCTAGAAATTTTGAAAAGTCCACTCAGTTTGCCTGGGAAAGAGTGCTCGCTGTGTGATAATGCTTCCCATGTTACAAAAGAGTTGTCTCTGTGTGTGTGTGCGTGCATATATACATATACATATATGCACGCACACACACATGTATATATATGTATAAATACATATATATACATACATATATATACATACATATATATACATATGTATGTATATGTCCCCACGCAGCTATTTGATATTTGTAAGTTTAGACTTCAACTTAACATAAAATAATATGAAAACTTCTCTGGTTTACAAAGTGTAAAATCTTATACAAGCCAATGGATTTCCTACCTCACTGTACACTCGGCTGTCTGTCATCGGTTCTTGTGTGTACATATGTCACATCTTTTGCTTTAAATGTAAATATTTGCTTTGGAAAGTTACCATTTTATGATAAAATCCAGTTCTCTCCTCAGTTTAAAGGTATTTTTTTAATGACACTTGGTTTAAATTTCTATCTATGAACAGTTTAGCATTAAGGGTTAATTCTAATGGTGTCTGGTAATTGGCCAAGTGTAATATTTCTTAAAATTTAGCATTACTTTTAACAGCCAGCATGTAATACAAGTAACTACACTACCTCATACCTTCGTGATTTTCAAGTTGTATTAGGTGGACAGGACAGGATTTACCTTTGTCTTTGGGCCGTAAGGTGGGTAATAATGGAAATATATTGCATAGCATTATACATTTATGCCTATTTTAACGTGAACTTCTAAAACGTTTTCTTTACTAAGAAAATTTGTTTTAAGGAAATATTTTTTTGGGGGGTGGGGGATGCCGAAGACAAATGATAGGATCATATGTGTACAACGTATGCCTTTTCCTTCATGCAGGGCTTGGACAATGTTTTTAGTTGGCGTTTTGCATAGTCACACAATCAGAGCTCCGTGTTGTATGAGCTGGCCTTCTCAAGGCCCAGGGATTTTTTTTTTTTAAAGCTGTTATGTCTGACTCAATACAATAATGTCATTTTAAATTTTTGCCCCTTATTTGAATACTGTAGCTACAATCAAAATAATTTGTTAAATTGTTTTTATTCAAAATAAATATGAAGATAACAATTTACTGTAGCTTGATGCTTAGCCAATTTTATGTTAGGAATTCAACATACACGATACAGGGATGGCAGAGATGGTGTGAGAGTTCTCAGCTGTGTTAACAACTTGGAAAGAAAGAGAAGCAAATGGCGATGTTACAGTGAATTCTCAGGTGAACTTTTTTCAGTTATGAAAACATCTATTTTGAATTTGTAAATATTTTAACTGTTTTATTAAGGCATGGACTAAATTATTCTTTTGACACCTGTTGGGTAGAATGAAAATTTAAGCCATAATGGTAAAAGATGGCATACTGATTGTAAAATAAATAATAATAATAATTTTTTTGTATCTTTCATAATATAATTTTTCTAACTGCAAATAAAACCACTGAACTTATATATTCCTGCCCTATTAAGCCCATGTTTCATTAGTAGTATACCTTATAATATTTAATTACATTTTCTTTCAAATGTGCTTGTCTGGATGTGCCAGTATAAGTCTTAGATGGTGATGCTAGACTGTTAATAAAGTTCCTAACACGGCTTTCAGTTGACTACAGTTGTACATTCCTGTCTCACTGCTCATGAGAACTTACCATGTCAATCATTAGATTACAAGTCAGATTATGCATTGATAGGGGAGAATTTTTGTTAGTTGAATATTTTATGTCTTGGGGGGGGAACAAATCCTCCCAGTTCTCTGGTATCAGAAGGATCACAGATTTTTTTTTAGTCTTGCATTTGGTTTCCTTAGTTTCAGTGTGTGGAGTAGGTACATGTAAAGGGTGTTTATCAATCAGGGTGTGAGGAGGTATGTTAGTTAGTACAGCTTGGCCATGGATCTGAGTTCAGTTTCCAGAACTCATTAAAAAAATTCCAGACCATTGCCACTGGTCCTTGAGCCATGTGTGCCTAACAATGACAGAATCAGGGAGGCAGAGTCTGGCATGTCTCTAGGGCTCTCTGACTGGCCAGCCTGGCCTATTTAGTAAGTTCCAGGCCAGTGAGGATACAGGCAGACAAATGCCTGCACCAACACACATGTGTATACACACACACACACACAACACATTCACACAGAAGATTCTCAAATCTATTCATCAAGGACTTTGAGAAGCTGGTTGGTTTTGTGGCCATCCAAGGCCACAGCCTGTTCTGTTAACACTGATTTTCAACTGTTCTGGTGTAGGATGCACATTACAGTAACAGGCAACCAGCCCTCACCAGTTGTTGTCTTGAGGCATCTGCTCACACTGACGTGAAATGCTGAGGAGACTGATACAGCATTAAGAGATCTGAAAATGTTCAGGTGACAAGTAGTGTGATGTTTTCAGAGGGCTGAAGCTAGCCTGCCACAGGTCCACATAGGATAGCATTTGTGCCTGTAACATTCCGACTTCTAATCTGTCAGTCTGCAGACACAGCTGCTGTCTGCGAATTCTCATTGACACGCTGGGAAGAGGGAGTCACTTCCCCACCAGGTTCCAGCTCCAGCTGTCACATGCAGGACTGTAAAGTGGACCCAGCAACACACTAGTTAACTAAATAAATAGATGTTTCTTGTGTACTCTGAACTACACAAGAACTACACTGCTCATCTTTCCCATTTGTAATCAATCCCCTTTCTCCCTCCTTGCCTCGAACCTTGATAGCATATCAGAGATTCTGCATTGGGAGTCAAGGAACACCAACACAGGAAGTTACCCATGAGAAAGATGCCCATGAAGGACTACAGTAGTTACACTCTGCAGATGAACAAAAGTCTATTCAGCTTTTAGTCAGGACAAATTCAAAGAATCAGTCCTGAAGTCTAGAAGAAGTAAATAATTTGCCTACCTGAACTCAAAGTTTAAGAAAACTAGCACCTCATACAGCCCTGCAAGTCAGCAGGATGGTTCATGCCTGGGATGGAATGGGGCTTCTGGAAACCTCAGCTTTGTTGCCCCGTGAAAGCTCCTCCTGGAACCTGGAAAGGGTTAAGACTAAGGCTTAGAGTCTGATGAGATCACCATTTAAAGTGGTGGTTTTCAATCTTCCTAATGCTGTGACCCTTTCATACAGTTCCTCATGCTGGGTGATCCCCAACCAGAAAATTATTTTGTTGCTGCTTCATAACTAATTCTTTTGCTGTTATGAGTCATAAAGTAAATTTCTTCATTGTCTGATGGTGTTAGGTGACCCCTATGAAAGGGTCATTTGCCCCCTCCCCGCCAAGGGGTTGTGACCCACAGGTTGCGAACCAGTGGTTTAGCACATGGAAGTGGACTGGTAAAGTTATCACAGCTGTGGCCCCACAGCTATACTTCTTTGAAGTAAGCTAATACCAAGATGTAAATCACTTGTCCCAGATAAAACTAAAGCCTCTGAACTCATACCTACTATTGTCAGCATGATAAGAGAACTCAATAGTACATGGGGAAAAAATACTGGCTTCTGCTTCTGAGAGAACTGTTTGTTCTGGAACTCACAACCTGTGCTCAGACTGTTGGGACTCCTTAGAAATGGCTAGGTTTTGACTGAAAGCGTGCTAGGAGACAGACCAACCATTGCATGATCCCTTAATTTACAATTCCTTTCCAACAGGACAATTCTGGCATGGGTTGAAGGAGCCTGAGTAAGCAAACTCTCTCAGACCTTGTGATTAGGCCAGGGTCACTGGAATGTGGCCTAAAAAGTAGCTGCCTAGGGATTGGCTGTTCTCTGTGTAGGCTTAAACAGCACGAAGTACTGAAGAGGGGCTGCTTGCAGTCAGGGCTGAAATCTCTGCTCTTCACTCCATGGCCAATAGGATGGAATTTAGTGTGTCCCACTGGCTTTGCAGAAATATCTCTCAAAAGCTAGAACCTCAAGAGTGTTCTACTTTTCACTGGAACCCAGTTGCCTTGGAAACTGAGTAATCAGTACATATTCTTCCCATTTATACTTCAAGGTCTTTGAATTCTTTGACTGAAGACCACAGCTGCAGAATCTCAGGTCCTCACCTCCAGTCACACACAAAGCTTGCTAGGGCATTGCAGTGACTGGTACAGCAGCTGCTAGAGCTGGAGAGGATTCCCACGTCTGCTGCTCACTATTTAGCCAGGTACAATGCACACTCTGAAAGGCCTCCTGCAGTTGGGTTGGAGCCTGGGAGGGATTTCCGCTGTTTAAATACCGTATGTAGTAGATTCTCCAGAGACGAAAATGATGGGCAGAAGTCAAAGCATGGCAAGGCAGTGGTATTCCCTGTTGACATTCCCTTCTACAGACACATTGGGCGTCTTCCATAAAGTACTGCGCATTCCGGGTGCTTCATTATAGGAATATCATTTTTTTTTTCTGGCAAGGCTGCTATGAGTACCTGTATGTTTGCATGTCTTCAACACAGGTGACAGAGCTACAATCCTCTCTCTCTCTCTCTCTCTCTCTCTCTCTCTCTCTCTCTCTCTCTCTGTGTGTGTGTGTGTGTGTCACAGTGAATAGTCCCTTCGGAGTCATGGCAATATAATGGTGTTCCTGAGGGACTTTCACTCCAGTGAATGGCGATCACATTTCTGCTGAGGATCCAGTGAAGTGACTTTGGCTTAAAAGTGTCTACATGGCATTCTCTAAGGCTAAGGCGAAAGGAAGGCAGGAAGGAACCTCCACAGGAACTCACATTTGCTGGATAAAACACTACACTGTGGCAACCTTCCAGGTTAAAAATGCCCACCTAGACCAGCAGTAACTTGGCTACCAAAAGCCTGCTCTGAGCCTGCGCAACACGCTGTGCTCTGAGCCTGCGCAGAGCTGGGGCTCACAGATCTAAACACACAAGTACTCTTCACAGTCTGTTTCTCACGCCTTCTCTCTACTGTGCCTCTCAGGTATCTTTCATGTTCCTTCCCTACGGTTAAAACTAGAGAAGGGGAATGGTAGGAGATGGAAAACCAAATTAAATCCCAATTGCTGATGACGAGTTGCTCTGCGCAAGCGCAGAGTGTCAGACTCCAGAACTAGGCAAATAGACCTCCATTCGCAGTTTTCTCTTGTTGGAGGGAAAGAATTTCCCTATGCTCATTTTCATGGAGAGAAGGTCTCCTCCCAGCAGCACAGCATGACCTATTCTGTAAAAGTAGTTATATATTCAGCTAGGCAGATGTAAGCCTAGATTGGGTTTGAGCTACTCTGACTTACATCCCAGCCAAATGTTCCTTGTTACCTGTTTCTCCTGGCCACGTGTTCATGGTCCATCTCCTCTCATGGTAGCCTCATCCTCCCTTTTGTCTCCTTACTTCTCTCCTCAGGTCTATCCTGAGACTTCCCATTCTGTCATCAAGTCCCGCCTTTCTCCACGGCTCTATCACAGGCTTTAGCCTTTTATTGACCAACTTGGGGAGCAAGGCTTACATAGCATCACTTGGTGTACATGAGAGTGAGGATCTCATGGGGTAACCAGATCTTGGGGGCCAGTAGTTAGCATTGGGATTACAAATACCAGACCAACCCCAACATTATACTGCTTCTCGGGAGAGGAACATTATTCGAAGGAGGAAAGTGACCAAGGAGAGATGAGAGCTACCAAGTTTCCTCCCTAATGTCAGTCACCTAGGGCACTCCACCTCCAAGGGCTGCAGTGAATAATATGGTTAAGGGGAAACTCTTTGTCCAAACACTGGGAGAGGTATGGAGAAGAATTACATGGAGTTGTGAATCTGGAAGCTTTGAGAAATTCTAGAGAAAATAGAGAGGTGGCCTCAAGAGAGGCAGACCGCAATGAAAGCCCTGAACCTGCCCTCCCATCTTTACAGTACTTCTACAACGGACACAGGTCCAGCTTTAAAGTCAAAGTGCTCACCCCTGAGACATTCCCTCCACCTCGCTCGCCTCTGCTCCATATGTTGTTCTTCAGGTCTAAAGGAAGCGATCAGAGTGGGCTTTCAGGACCAAGCAGAGTGCATTTCTTATTCATTTAAACACAGCCGTCTTTTCTGCATTTGCTGCTCTCAACTCTGAGTTTGCTTTTAGTTATTCTTAGAAAGTCAGTTGTTTTCTGAAGTGTTAACTTTCTTTTGAACACCAGGACCCAAACAATTTTCTTATTGCAATATTATATGATATATGATATGATAGCAGTTTTCAGATATGCTATTCACCATGTACAAGGAAGTGCTGCTTGAATCTTGGTTTGTGACATAATCATGTAGAAAGTTTCATTTGATTTAGACAGCTTTGAATGTTGGGTAGAGGGTTGCCCACTGGTGCCTTTAACGGAAAGTTTTCTGAGGAAGATCATTTTAAAACACATTTTGGCCTTGGTTGAGCTTTACAAGCGCTCAGTATTTGAAGGGTGACTTTTAGGGAACCGTGGAAGGCCTAATCTGCCAAGACATCTTCCATGGCATTCCTAGAGCTCAGGGATGCCTGCTCAGATGGCTCTGCTTCAGCTACACAGAGGAGCAGCAGGAGTGGAGCTCACCAGAGAACCATGCATGGAGTTTAAAACTTTATAGAAATGAGGTGTGGGTGGAACATGAACTGCTCAGATAAGGTGGGAGAAGTTGGCCAGCTGAAGAACTTAATAGATTGTGTTTTC